GCACCGTGTGGCGCCCCCCCCCCCCCCGCCACTCCCCTCAAACCCCCCAGCCCGGGGGCAGTGAGCGAGCTAGGGCGCCTTACCCCCCCCCTGCAGCCCGTCCAGCCTGGCTCTCCTGCCTGCACGGGCGTTTGCACTGGTGGGAAATCTGGGGGAAGAATGGGTGATGTGCAGCCAGACAGAGGAGGAGTCTGCCACCAGCCCGCATGCAGCCCGCTCCCAGGCTCCTAATTGGTGCTTTGCGAGCAGCACAACTACCGCTCTGCACCCAAACCAATTTTACCCCCCCCCTGCAGCCCGTCCAGCCTGGCTCTCCTGCCTGCACGGGCGTTTGCACTGGTGGGAAATCTGGGGGAAGAATGGGTGATGTGCAGCCAGACAGAGGAGGAGTCTGCCACCAGCCCGCATGCAGCCCGCTCCCAGGCTCCTAATTGGTGCTTTGCGAGCAGCACAACTACCGCTCTGCACCCAAACCAATTATCCTCCGATAACGGGAAGGCTCAGGTCCTTGCAGCTCCGTCACAAACAGAAACAACCAATTAAGGAGGCTGGGTGCCGAAAACAGCCTGTTGTTGTGCTTGTCAGCCCTGGGCACGGGTGCCAAATTACGCCAATAACTGGGGTTCTGAGTCTCGCTCATTCACACAAACACAGTCCCTCCCTCCCTCCCTCCCCCTGTAGCACTCCGCTGGGATTTCCCCTGGGCAGCAGAGATGTTGAATTTACTCCACTGGCTTCTCCTGGACTCAGAGGCTATGGCTACACTGCCGTTTTTTTTGCGCTCGCATTTGCATATCTTCCGATTCTTCTTGCGGAAGACGTTTTGCCGATAAAAAGCCCCATGTAGACGGGGCCATTTGTCGGGAAAAAAATCCTTCTCCACCAGACCCTGTAAAGCTCGACTTACAAGGGGCCTTGCGAAAGAGGGTTTTTTCCGACAAATGGTCCCGTCTACACCGGGCTTTTTATCGGCAAAACCTCTTCCGCAAAAAGAATCAGAAGAAGATATGCAAATGAGAGCGCAATTTACATATCCTCTCCTGCAAAAAAGCGGCAGTGTAGCCATAGCCAGAGCTCCTACCAGGATGAACGAAACAATTCAGCACCGATATGTTCCACCAGCCAATTCTCCTTCTGACCACGTGTCCTGAATTCACAGGACCTGGGCTACGTCCCAGCCTTTAAACAGTCTCCTGGGAGTAACCCGAAGCCCCAGGCTGTGTCTACACTGGCACCCTTTTCCAGAAAAGGGATGCTAATGAGACCAGTCGGAATTGCAAATGCCGCGGGGGATTTAAATATCCCCCGCGGCATTTGCATGAACATGGCTGCCGCTTTTTTCCGGTTCGGGGTTTTGCCAGAGAAAAGCGCCAGTCTAGATGGGATCTTGCGGAAAATTTGCCGGAGAAAAGCACCAGTCTAGACAGGATCTTGCGGAAAATAAGCCCTTTTCCGCAAGATCCCTTATTCCTACTTTCAAGTAGGAATAAGGGATCTTCCGGAAAAGGGCTTATTTTCCGCAAGATCCCGTCTAGACTGGCGCTTTTCTCCGGCAAAACCCCGAGCCGGAAAAAAGCGGCAGCCATTTTCATGCAAATGCCGCAGGGGATATTTAAATCCCCCATGGCATTTGCAATTCCGACTGGTCTCATTAGCATCCCTTTTCCGGAAAGGGGTGCCAATGTAGACACAGCCCCAGAGATCCACTCTGTTCCAAAAGGCAGACCCACAGCCTCCACAACCCCACAACTGGGCCTTCAAGCACCAAGGACCCTGTTTCTCTCTGCAGCTCCCTGCAGTGAATCCAGCTGACGACTGATTGCTGGAAGAGACTTTCCCCTCACAGGGCACAATGCAGCTTGGTCAGCATTTGCAGCAATATGCAGCATCCTTCTCCAGGCAAGGTAACATTTATTAGTCCAAGAGCGAGTAGGTTAACGTGGGCCAGGTACTCTGGAAACATGATCTGTCTCTGTCCCTGCGTCTCCATTGTTCCAGCACCTGGCCTTAGGTACCATCTGTTCACACCTGTCTGTTTCCTTTGTTCCCTGTTCCAGCCATGTTGTGTTCACATGTTCAGCTGCCTGGGATGTTTGATATCTGCCCACTGAAGCTTCATTCAACCCTGTTGATTCCAACCCAAACAGAGCCAAATACCTTGCTTGTCCCTGACAGAGAATTAACCCTTTCCACCCAATGGGTAGTGATACCTAGTGGATATGTATAAGATCATACCTGACAAAAATCCCGCACACCACAGCCAGATCTGGCCAGCCGGGGATACAAGTCAGGCACATGCTGCATCCCAAGGGAGTGGAGCCTTCACACCCTCTTCGAGCAGTCTCCGCGTGGCAGGAGCACAAGGGGTGGAACGAAAGCCAGTCAGCATCAAACAAAGTCACCCGATCTCATTTCGAGCAGCCAAGACCCTGAATGAACCTCCAGTTTCGTTTCACTAGCAGGCCAGTAAGGAAACACATGCAGATAAGACTGACCATGCGCTACAACCCCCAGCGTTCGATGCTGAGAGACAGGTGAGCATGGGAATGGATGTCAGGACTTCTGTACTCTATTCTAAGCTCTGCCACTGACTCACTTTGATTTTAACCACTCTGTGCCTCAGTTTCCCTATCAGAAATGGAGATGACATGCCCGACCTCTCTTCGCATGCGGGCGCTGCAAAGGCCAGTTAATGTCTGGGGCGTGCTCTGCGCAGGTGCTAAGTGCTGTTGCTGAAGAGCTATGCATGGATGTCAGGACTTCTGTACTCTATTCTAAGCTCTGCCACTGACTCACTTTGATTTTAACCACTCTGTGCCTCAGTTTCCCTATCAGAAATGGAGATGACATGCCCGACCTCTCTTCGCATGCGGGCGCTGCAAAGGCCAGTTAATGTCTGGGGCGTGCTCTGCGCAGGTGCTAAGTGCTGTTGCTGAAGAGCTATGCACCCCGATAGCCAGCAGATGGAGTCTGAACTGCTGCACAGCACAGAGCAGCACCAGGAAACTCACTGGGGCATTTGGCTGCTCTCAGAAACCAGTCATCACTAATTAGGCCTCAATTAGCGCTCACCAGCGCCACCGGCAGAGAGCGATGACCCTGCTGAGGGATCGATTTTCCTGGAGGCAGCACTGCGGGTGGGTGCATGATGCACTGTGCTTCCGGTCTGTTAGGGTGCAGCGCCGATGTGATTTCATGCCCTGGACCAGTTCAGATGGACAACGGGATGGGAAGCAGAAGACACCTGGGTGCAACGGACATCCGGGGTTTCCTGCAGCCCTGGCTATGGCAGGCAAGTGGGGCCGGCTGCACTTGCTGGAGCACTGCCAAGGTGATTCCAGACTGAAGCTAGGGTGAGGCCCTGGATCAAAAGCCGGGCTCGTCCCTCTAGAGAGCAGTTAGGCTGATGCCTGCTGGGGGCTGATGCTTTGTGCATCCGGATATTAAGGCCAGGCCCGGCACTGCCCCACCCTCCCTACCGCAGGAAGGCTCCCTGCTGGCCCTCCCACAATTTCTGTAAACAGCCTGGAACAACTTTCAGCCAGTATCAGAGGGAGGGGCCTGGCTGCTCCCACAGAGTTCCACAATGCTGCATCCTCTAAGCCAGCGGTTCCCAAACTTTTCATCATAACGCCTCCTTCTTGATTTTTGAGAAACCCTCATGCCCCCCCAAAAATAGCAGCAAAACTTGTTGAGCAAAAAAAAAAAAAAAAAAAAAGACTGTGGCCCCTTTAATTCCCAGGACCAGTGTAAAAAAAAGGTGCCAGTACTCGAGGGAAAACGCTGTTGATTTTAAGAGACGAGGAGGCATTGCCCTTTTAAGGTGGCCATTTTGAAGTCTGCCCAGGATGCTCCATCCTCCCCCTACCCTAGCCAGCTGGACCTGTGCCTGTTCCAGTGGATGCTCAAGCCAGGAAAAACAGAAAACACGGGACACTTCACATGCTACTTTCTGAATTTTTTTACTGGATGGACCAGGCTCTTTCTTGGGGAGGGGGGGCTGGGTCGCCTCGCACCCCCCCTGGATTTTCTTCACGCCTCCCCCCCAGTGGGGAATGGCCCCCCCCAGTTTGGGAACCTATGCAAGTCTAAGCACAGGCTGCACTGAGGGATTTTAAAAGGTGCTGGAGCAACAGCCCAAGAGACCTGTAATAACTAGTCAGTAATCTTTCATGTAGCAATTTTCCATCGGTGTCTCTCCAAGCACATTATGAAGGGGGTGTGTGGCAGGGTCATTATCTCTGTTTTACAGATGGAGAAACTAAGGCACAGAGTAGCAAAGTGACTTGCTCAAGGTCATCCAAGAGGACAGTGGCAGGGCCAGGAACCCAGGCCTCAAGCATCCCATCCAGCACTCTATCTACTAGGAAACACTGCCTCGCCATACTCAGAGCAATTACAGCATGGGCAATGACAGTGGGGGTGCAGGAAGGAGCTCAGTCTTGAGTGGCTTAGCTAGCCCCAGCTACAATGGATGTGATTTCTCACAGGAACTGGTCTGAGGCCTGAGAAACTCAGTCCACCCCAGCTCCTCCCCTGGAGGAAGGCGGGTGGTTCTGAGCCCCCCAGGCAAAGCAGGCCATACAGGGCCTGGGGGAGTCTTCTGAGCTGGGACAGGAAACGGGGAGGGGTCCAGAAGCAGATGAGAACAGGGGCTGGTTTAGGGCACTCTTGGGAACTCTCTCCCAAGGCCCCTTTTCAGTGGCAGGGAGCCTGAGTGGGCAGGGCCTTGTGGGACCCTTGTCTAAGTCTCGGCTTGACAGAGCCCTGGCTGGGTTGATTTAGTTGGGATTGGTCCTGCCTAGGGCAGGGGGCTGGACTTGATGGCCTTCTGAGGGCTCTTCCAGCTCTATGGTTCTATGATTCTATGACCCTCCCATCATGAGGTTGGTGGTAATGCCAAGGGAGCCCTGCCTCAGGGCGAGGTCGTGCACTGGAAACGGCCAGGAGGGTGGGGTCTTCCAGACGGAGATGCTGTGTCTAGGCAGTTCGAAGTAGCGGTTTCAGGCCAGCGGGAGGGGCGGGAGGGGGTGCCCGTGGGCTGCACTCCGTTCTTCAGCTCAGGGTCAGCCCAGCAGCCTGGCTGGCGGTAATCAGCCAAGAGCACAAACCTGACGGGCCAGGCTCCGAGACCCAGCACCTCAGAGACCCGGAGTACAACGTGCCACCCGCACAGCTGAGGCCATGCAGAGAGAGGTGGCTCCAGCAGCCGCAGAGCGGAGCTGGGAGTTCCCATCGCAG